ATTTAAATTTTCATTTAATTATGTATTTCATCTTTTAGACTCACAAACGCGGTAACCGTCTCTTTCTTTCATTCTCTAGTCGGATAAAATTAAGAGAACAATTTCCTACTATGATTCATTCGAGTTCAGTACATAGTGCTACTCAGTAGGTCTCAAGTGAAGGGATTGACACAGAAGACGTAAGCATTTTATGCTAGATGCCATTCGAATTCTCGAAATCGATTCGTCGAGTGACCTCTTTCGCCATCGAATAGTAATGACCGTACGCGGTTCGAATAGCTGTCGCATGTCACATCACTAGAATCGAGCTGTCAGCCGGTAGCTTGGGTAACTGACATGGTGAGAATGTGTCATCACCAAGCATTACTCATAACTTGCGGAACTCGATTTGTGGTCAATATACGATGTTTATAGCACAGTAAATAAGCTCTCATTCTTAACAGATACTAACTATTGCGTGATTTTGGGAACCTAATAAGGTCACAAATGGAAAGTCAAACTCAAGACAGTACAATTTGACGCAAAGGGAATCATTCCAAGTGTTAAAATTTCAAGACAGATTAAATTAGTTATTTCTGTATCCCCATTCGTAATAATGACAAAAGTAACCTCAAAACTTATTCGTATAAAATACTTACTGGCTCAAGTTGTTTTCTGTCGTAACCATAACCGTAATATGACACAAGTCGAGATTCGAATGCTGTGCCTCATAATGTCTTCCATTCATCTCATAATGACTTCGCTTCGGCGGTGCAGATGACTCACGCCTCAAAATTTGTTTTTTCACGGATGTCTCTATGCATTTTTAAATCCATTTATATAAAGGTTAACTCATTGGTCCATTAACACTTTAGGAAACTGTTCACACCTAAATCGTAGCTATATTATATATTTTTATGACGTATTGAAGATAATGTATTTGTTACTAATCGATTTCCACTTGTTTTAAATCTTGTAATTTTTTTTAAGTTTATTATCTGGAAATCTACTTATTTTTTGTTTGGTTAAACTTGTCATAAATACAGCTACAAAGAAGAAGACCTAAAGCGCAAGCTAGATGGCAAAATGGCTGATTGTTGTGAAAATCCATTGGAATAAGGCGACAATGAATCTTTGGGTTGCAAAATTCAATAAACCATCTGTTATAAATCTATACTGACCGTAATTCTACTGTAAACGTGATCGATACTATTTTAGCTGACAACTTCCAGGCTTACGTTTATTATTAGCTACTCTATTGACGTCCGCAAACGTGCTCACCGCTAACCAGCACTATCTCGTATTTCCTCACATCATTCTAGATATTATTAATGCCTAACTTGCAACTAATAAATATATCGACACCTGATAAATAAACCTGACTTCATGAATCTAATCTATATAATAAAGCGATTTTTTTTTCTCATAGGAAGACCCCTAATAAGACCGCGGTTAACAATATACTCCTTTTGTTTATTTTCCTTCTAATACCCTTCTAACATATATCATGGTAGTATAAGTTTACCTTAAAAGAAGCAAGCAAACAAAGCCCAATAGAAGCTGGGCGTGTAATTTGCGTGCTGATGTCACCTAAATTCCACGCAGTCTTGAGCCCACTCCAACTGTCACCGTGCACTACTTACACAGATATACTCGTACATGTAACAAGAATAGACTATTTACGACATTACTGGACTTACTACACTCAGCTGTTGATTATGACATTCAAACGTAATCTGAGCATTAATACGATATTTTAGTCCGGAATTCCAAAAACGAAAAACAAAATAAATATCCTGAAGATGTTGTAAATGTTCCTCCACGTAGTAAATGTTCTGCTCTGTCCAAAAGTTAGATTGAAAATTGTGTAAAAAAATATGTGCAATACTATTTTATGTTAAATGGGAAATACACATCAAAGACCGCTATGTGACACTTTCGTTCAAGATTGACGCGAAATCGAAATTGCTTTCCACGTGAAAAACTTCTGATCTAAGATTGGATTAACGACTGTCGCAGCCTTCTTTCCGATTGACGCTTCGATGCTTTGAGAAATATGACGCTATTATTTTCTTTGTTACATTTTGACTAACTAATATGGCTTTCTATTCAATGTGAAATCGTCATGATGTAAATCGAAAAGAAAGTTTTCTACATCTTAATGGAATGGGAAATGAAACCTAATATTTATTTACTAGTTTGATTGTATAGACGATTAAAATGAATATTATTATTGCCGTTGAATTATCAAATTAAAATAACAAAATGTGCTGCATGGGCGTCGCCAGCCGCTTATCTAGGTAGGTAAAGTTAGGGAACAGTAGAATGGTCTTATTTGAAGTAGTTTTTATATGTATTTTACAATTTTAGGGATTTTAGGCGAGACAGGTGGAAGCAGCCCCACTTACACCCCTGGCGATACCCATGGATGTTTTAAAAGGAACACAACGGAGAAAGACATCTTGTCTAAAAAGCGCCTGCAGTTTTTCAAGAGCACTACTTGTATTCAAAAGTCCACAAAATCAATCAATTGCATCAATAAGCATATTCGTAAACAAGAAAAGAACTGGCTGACATTTATAAATTAAAAATCATTTTAAAATACTTTCATCTTCCAATTAAAATTACGAAATAGCCCTAAGGGCGTGTAACCTGTCGCAATACTACGAGAAAGTCAAACAGGTAACCATGGAAAGTGTCTGCAGACATATAAAAAGACATTAATGTGATCATAAACTTGTAATACACGTCTTTAAACGATAAATATAAAAGCATCTGGTTACAAGTGGTTCGAAAGTGAAAATGTACTGTATTGTAAAATCACAAACATAAACAGAATATTAAAATGTCTGACGATGCATTTGATCCCAATACTGCAGTCGAATTTCAAAAGAGGACATTTGAGAACATAAACATCGTTGACTAATTTAATTTGACATATTAGTGCAATCAAATAGGTCACTTTATCTCGGTTTGCCTTATTTGCTAAACCCCAAATACAACATCAATTTTAAAAGAAATTGAATATTAGTTTAAATTAAATAGATACATATTTAGAATTACGAGGATCTTGGATCATTTGTAAAGTTGCATAACCCAATAACTTGTAAAAATCTTGTCAAAAAATAAATAGGATAATGAAATAGAGACAATACATCTTGTGGATATTTGCAACAATGTGTCTAGACTTTTTATTACACTATGTTTTTTTAAAGTACTTCTTTTAAATAAAGCACGTCGAAAAGAATACATTGCGTGTGGCTCAGCAACTAAAAATATGTATATACGTACAAAACCTCACGTGTATACATCACACAAAGCATAACTAGGAACGTCGGGTGTGAACAACTTTTATATTTATTTTGCGTGTTTTAAAAATCTCAGTGTATGTTTTGGATAAAATGTATCTACTATGGGACTGCTGAAGTCACCATTAAAAACCCAGACAGTGTTCCCGGGTAATTTTAATTAAGTATTTCTTAAAAGTTTTGTTCGCAACGTCAAGCTAAAATTCAGTAGTTATACTGAATTTCAATTTTGCGTCTGTACATTGTGTAATAACTAACTTTAGTGTGTATTAAATCTCTACAGTGACGCATTTAATATTCATGAACAAAGCCTTTCCCGAGTTTACCGGCTTGCGAGCACTGTCGGCGGTAACAAACGCCGCGCGGACAAAGCCGGGATCCCAGGCTGAGTGTAAGCCAGACGGAACCTTTGTACTGCACTGTACCTTTTATACATGACGTAACGCATCGCTGTTTTTTATTACTTTTAATATTATGTAACAGGTGATGTTACAGACGAAAGAAAATAGCAGTTAACTTATCAGAAAGAAAATATTAGATCGACCGCAAAAATCTCATGTTAGTAACTTGCTTCAGTGGTATATTATTATAAACAATCTGTATAGGTCAGCTAGAAATGTAGTCGATAATTGTAATCGTCTTAAACCACAAGGCAACTACTCTAGAAGTATAAAGATTTCTATGTTCTCTGTTTTCTCTTTCCTATACTAACTACCTAACTGGCAACACATCTGTATTCCACGTGTTAATCATTGCAGTTTTCACTAGCTACGAAACTTAACTGCGTCATTTATACAAAATGCTTGTGTTTGCTATGTCATATAAAAAATAACTGGCCATCAAAGATCGTCAGCACTTTACATTGACCAAGTCAATGCTCGTTTTATGATCTCAGTCTTAATAAAACAGCAAACGCAGCGGATTGTCGAAATATCGTAAAGATTTCGTGATCACTTCTAAAAAGTAGGTTATATTTTATCGCTAAACTATTTGAAAATGAAATGATGAGTGAATTAACATAGTTGCTTTGGAAGATCGGGACTCATTAAATGGAAATAGAATAAAGAGTAACTATAGCAAGTAAACTAGTAAAGTAAACGGATTAGAAGAAATCTTTAATTGTTTATAAATCCCACTAACTACACTTTGCAAAATTTTCATAAATTAAAGAGTCTATAACAAGCGACCATGCGCTAATTATTATTTTTTACCTCTTTTAAGAGCCCAGTAAAGTTATTAGTTATACTAAAAGTATAAAAATAAATTTCTTTCTTTCTTAATTTTCAAATTTCCTTTATAGAGCCATAGCCGCTGTGAAAATGTGCATGAATTATAAGTTTTCTGGTTAAATATCGTACAATAACTAGGTCAGGGAGCACAAAAGAACAAAAGGAAAATTTAATGCGCAAAATGTAGAAGCGGTTTTGTACAATATCAAATTATTTTTTAAAATTTAATTAGAGAGTTATTAATCAAAATTCTATGGCCCGTATTAAAAATAACGACCTAGCTTTTTCTATTGAACATATTTTAAATGTAATAAAGTAATTAAAATGATGTTCAACACCCTCTGCAACCTTCTAGTATTCGATCACCAATAACATATTTATTACAAAATAATTTCTCGAAGCTCTTATCTTATTGGTGTATGTAGTAGCGGTCGCTATTTTAGTGAGGCCGTTTTGCTCGTCTTTTCCTATAAAAGAAACTTACCATTCCCATAGATGTGAAAGGCAGTCGAACATGACGCAGCCGTGCTCCGCGCTGATGCAGGAGGCGGGCGGAGCTGACGCCATATTGTCGTGCCCATCTTTGTCATCCCACGGGCCCATTGTAACCTCAGTTAGCACAAAACATCACGATCACATCACGTCCAGCGGAAGAAAATAATTTCCGACAGTCATATCTGAAAAAAAAAAACAATCGATTAGCAATTTGAGTAATTCAAAACAAAAGAAATTGCACATAAGTAACGATATATTATAGTAAACCAAACACGTGACACATAAGCATAAGTGAATGAAGTAACCTGAATTGCCCTGTGGTCAGCTTATAAGAAAAAAAGCTGTAAACACAAATCATCAGAGTTTCTGAAGAGGCGCAATCTACCTTACAAGCAACAATACCTCAACCATTTTTGAGATGAAAACAATTTTTTGAAAAGTGAAAAAGCAAGTAAAAAGAATGGTCTATTAACAACATACTTTTGTTATTTGTTTTATTTAAATAAGAAACGTGGGTAAAAGCATATTGAAAATCTAACTGCGAATAACAAAAGATAAATTCCTGAATGCAACCATAATGCTCACCAAAACCACAGAACTTATTGTATTACAAAACTGCTGTCACTGCAGAAATATTTGTTCTACTACCTTTTTATTATTTAAAAACGTATCTGTGTCAACAGAAAAAAAGATACAGCTAAAAAATATTTTGCAAAGATCAGGGTAATGTTTGATTGTTGTTAATCTAAAACATATAGTGGGAAAAAAAGTAAAAAAAGCATACAAACGAATTGAGAACCTCCTCATTTTTGGATGTCTATTAAAAATGAACTCTTGTTAGACTTAAGAGTCATTGACCTTCGTCTTATCGGTCACGTGGTGAACTCAGTTAAGAATTTGACCGTTAAAGTCCCAACAGTTCATACGTTTAATTTACAATAGCTATACAATTTTACGTGTGTTTCAATTGTCAATATTTTTAAATTGCTTCTCATTGATTTAAAATTTAAAATCATTTCTAATGCATCTCTGTCTGTTACAATAGTATTAAAAGTCATGAAACTATTTTAATAATATCCTAAAGTCAACCAAGTAAAAAAGCTAGTGTTAATAAATTTTTACAATCGACATTCAGCAAACTGGAGTACTACGTAATTGGTTATATTGAAAATCAATAAAACCTCGTCTCGTCGGATCTGCTTCGAAAGCAAATTCATCCGTGAGGCTTAGGGTTTGTCTTAGTCTAGCCAACTTCAGCTCCCTCTTTGAATCGATAAAACATTTAGCGGTCGTTTGAGATTGGTGGGAAAAAGACGGAAATAAACCAGACGGAATATGGATGGATTGGTTAAAACGATTGATATTCAGTACATAATAAAGATATTTTATTTTGTCGTTGTTAGGAATTTTAGTTTTAGTTATGGTAAAAAGCAGGAAATTGAGCTTTTTACTGCAGTATTTAGTTTTTAATTTGTCACCAAAGCCATCTATTAGTATGGGTTCCTCTTACTCTTAGCTCAAAATGCTAATTCTACACTAAGGGACTTTTTATATAGATAAATAGTACGCAAATTACTAATTTCAGCATAGTCCAATTATTTATTTGGTTTAATAATAATATCAGCAAATAAAAATGAAATTGTAAAACATCGATCTCTAGATGTAAACTGCAATATTTCGATTGTTATAAGTAAATGATTACTCGCAATATAAGGTGGCAATTTATTTCACATTTGTATCGTACACAATACGTGTTGCATTGGCCATCATTAACTGCAGACTGACATTTCTTATTGCAATACATTAGAAATGCTAACGACGAAGAAATTGTGGCCTACCTAACACCTAACCTACACGTTAATTGTTAAAGAATTTAAATGAAAAGAGTCAAAGAAAGGCAAAATATATGAAAACAACTTTATTACAAAATAGCTTTCACTCGCGACTCCGTCCTGTATTAAAAAAAAACAAAAGTGAATAGCCTAAGTGTTCTTCCAGGCTATCCCCTACATCTATGCCAAATTTCATCGAAATCCGTTCAGCCGTTTAGGCTAGGCAAACTCTAACAATCATTACTCCATCCATCTAAACTTTCGCATTTATAATATTAGTATGATTACTCGTTATTATATGACTAGTGCCTTAACCTGACTATGTTCATTAAACAAATCAGTAGTATTTTACGTATCAACTACTCATAGATTACGGTGTTGGTTTTTTATGCAAATCATTTTCATTCAATAAAAAGAAATTTGCAGTGGTATTATAATATTATTACAAGAAAAAAGTAAATTTAACAACCGCTTCCGTTTTTCAAATCAATAAAAACACTGTTACAAAACATTTTATGCGCCAAGTAACGATTACTGGCAATATTATGAACGTATCTGACACATAACCTCAAAATTAACATCGCACTTTTCGTTTTATGCGACTGTTATTTGTGATCGTTACAAGAGTTAAGGTAGCAGTAGGATTCCTTATACCAAGGTTAATGTCGATAATTTACACTTTGACTTTCACCTAACGATAACGATTCACCCTTTCTGTCTTAGGGAGAACGCCCTTACCCACCCCTCGCTTGCTAACGTAGAGGTGAGATATCGCGTAATAAAATCTGAGGTCAACCGAAATAGGCACATTTATGATGTACCTAGGTACTACTTAGATAAAACTAGGTTATATGTAAAATTCTCTATCCGCATGGTTTGCTTGAATCATTATTCTTACTATTATATACTAGCTTTCGCCGGCGACTTCGACCACTTGGAATAAAAAAAAATAAAAGTGAGTAGCCTATGTTTCTTCCAGAGTATACTATACATCTATGCCAAATGTCACAGAGATCTGTTCAGCAGTTAAGACTACAAACTCTAACAGACATCCTTCCATCCATCTAAACTTTCGCATTTATAATATTAGTTAGATTAATAAGATGAGAAAGTTTAGATGGATGGATAATTGTTTGTAGCCTAAACGGCGGAACAGAACTCGATGAAATGCGGCATAGATGTAGAGGATACTCTGGAAGAACACATAGGCTACTTATTTTTGTTAATTTCAGGAGGAGTCGCAAGCAAAAGCTAATAATGGATAATTTAGCCTACCTTCCTTCGGAATAATGTGGCATTCTTAATGCTAAAGATTTCATATATCCTTTAAGTAAATCATAAACGTAATAAATTATCCTCTTTATCAGTCGGGTGAAGAAATATTTTGGATCATAAAAACCGAAAATAAAATAATTATAATATCTATTTGAAGTAACGATTAAAATGAAAGACTTATCTTGACGCAGACCTAAAAGTAGGCCACTAGGGCATCAAAACATACAGTTGAACAATATCGTTTCTATAAGAGAGTTAAAATAATAGTAATTTATTTAAAGTCATATAAATCCGAGTACTGTTTGCATAAAAGAAAGCAATAAGATTGTAAGAAAAACTATACAAATTTTAAAAATCGGCCAGTATTCCTTGGAGAGAAAAGAGCAATAGAACAAGAAGTACGCCATCACTGTTATTAGATCCGAACGATTACTATACTTCTGAATCATGTTTGTTACGAAATTAATCTTGTAATCATTAATACATACCTATTCCCCGCTTTGCTGTACCGCAAGTACGATCCAGTTACAAAACAACACAGTCGATTAAGGCAATGAAAAAAAATTAAATGTAAGTTATTAAATAATTATGGACATAGCTAATAAAAAGTAAGTTAATTTACAACTAATCAGAAACTACGGCAATAGAATTAAATGTAAAATTAAAATGACCATAGACAATAAGATAAAAAGTTAGCTTTCCAACTGGCCAGTTATAGCAATAATTCGGTACGCACGTACGCGGTGCCAGATGATCAGGGCGTGCCACGTGCCAGTGAAAGTGACCTAACTATGAGATAGCGGTACAATAGGTACCTGCGCTATAACTTCGACACGACAAACACAATCAGAAAGTAATTACAAACTTTTAGATTTAATTAAGTAATTAACATCGACAATGCTTAAAATCTTTAGCTATAAATTAAGCCTTATTTAAAAAAACAGTAGTAAGACATTCTCAATGTCACGATTTTGTATGCATGGTCACTTCAAAAGATCTTTTCTCTAACAGCGCTCTCGACTCGCCAGTAGCTCACGTTTGTAAACAGCCTGCCAAGCTTTAAAAGGCCATTTCGGCGCGTATGCAAGAATTATAATGACAGTTAAATAAGAAATATTAAAAAGTAAGAATTAATGAAAGGCTAATGAAATTAAATTTATTAGCTTAGGTTTTTTTAGTTTGCTGTATAATAGTAATTATAGGTTTACTTTTAGATAAACTAAATAATTATGTTTTAGTGCTTATTACATTTTAATATTCGAGACATTTTTGAAAAAGATGTTACATTAAAAGGGTAGTTAAATGTAACACAAGGAAGTTTTGGTTTGTATCACAATAGAACAAATAAAATAAAGAAAATACTCTATTATCATCATGTTACACACTTACAGATATACATACATTAAATGCAATCGAAGTTGATATTTTTGACACCTATACTAATACTTCAGAAATAAATTTAATTATTCGGTTGCTTGAATAAGCTCTAAATTAAAAAATCAAGTTAAAAATTCTATCGTAAATATTATTATGATTAAATTTTTAATTTGTATGAGGTAATCGATGTTAATGTCCAAAATTCATAACATGTAAAAATATTCCTAAGTTGACTACGCAAAAATAATGCGTAGTTCAAATTGGAAAATATATTATTTCTCATTTACCGGCGAAATACATATTCAACAATACCATATGAAGTAACAGATATTTCCAATCAATCAGTAACATGAAAACATGTCGAAGAATCAAAGCCGGGTATGTAGGTCATACCAACGTGCTAATAATTATGTATCACTCACCCGGTCCGGTCTTAAACGATTTTGTTGCGCACTTTTTATTGGAAATTAAAGTCTTTTTAACTGGCAACACAAATGAGTTTTCTTAATGTAATTATTTGTAACAAAGTTGAAAATGTAATAGTTATTTATGAGTTAAAAATTGATGTTTTATTTGAGCATATTTGCCGTATCGATCATGCGGCGCCCGGTCGCGCCGTCTCTCACGGAATGAACGCCACCCCGTCGCCCGGTGCGCGCGTTTTCCTCATTTTCCTGGGGAGGGGGATGTTCGCAAACTTACTTCGTAGTACGACGGACACTTCATTTACTACGAAACACTCTACGTTGTTTTCTATATCATTATTTATCTCGCTTCAATTCTATTATATCAGTAGAAAATTTCACGTCCACCTATAAACATTGATAAGTTGAGATGAAGCAAGCTTGTTATGACATTTAACATTTGACATAACAAATTCATTTACTAATCAACTATTTTTTTTCTTATCTGCTCTAAGACTTTGGCAAAGTTGTAAGTTATGAACACTATTTGTGCGAGACAGTTCTGACACAAAAGCTTGTAAAGTATTTCTATTTCATATGAGAAAATTAGAATCTAACGAGTATTAGTTGAAGTATGTAGATACATTCAAGCAAGTAAAGTTCATCATAATGATATTCCTGACCACTTCCGTGGGATCGGCGGATCAACTTAATTTGAACTTAATTTTCACGGGCGGCTGCCTGCCTGTCGCCAACCCTACTTAGTAGATACAGGTAACTAGACTTGAACGTTTTTAAAGTTAAGTGTTTTCAAGTATTAAATACTCCAATATTATCCCAAGATTCTTTGACAATACATCTACTAATTTCGTATTTAGGATTCAATAAATATCTTACAAATATAACGTATAGACAGTACGGATGCTTCAAGAATGTCGTTAGGGTCGAGCCCCTGAACATTGGGGTTGGTTAGGGAGCCACTCCCGGCCCCCTCAGCCCTCCACCAGACCCCTGCTAATGTCACGTAGTAAATTAAATAATGAATTTAAAGACCCTCGCCGGAAGAAAACCTTCTAAAAGTATTTCTTTTTTCTAACAAATTCAGTCATTTAATTTTATAATTGGCTTGTAATTATAACCCAGGAATTTTTAACTACGTGATACATGAGTATCGTAAACATAACTATCTCAAAAAGGAAAAACAGCAATAAAATCAGTCTCCTTGTTTAAAAGTTATGATGACACAAACATTCAAATAAAAATTGAACTCATATTTTCTCTGTGCGTTGGGGGTTGAAATTGTTTTTCCAACAGAGCACGTTGCAGTACCTGAAGTGAGCACTTGTTTTCAACAAGGTTATATTACAATGGACTTCCCTCCTAGCCTCCTACTTAATTATCATAACGCGAGTTAACTGCACAAACTCAAATTAACAGTTTTTAAACACGAATAATTATTAAAATGATTCTATTGAGAGATAATGTGTAAATGTTAAGTTTTCCAGTATTAAAAACTTTTGTCATATTGTGGTCACTTTTTTCTTTTTTATAATAAAAGGGGCGAACAAGCAGCGAGAACACCGAGGGCTTCAACGACGCCCATGGGGGGAGGGGGCGAACTTGCGCCTTATAGAGTTGAAGGCGGTGGCCCGACTGAAAACTGCTTCGCCCTACTGAGGACACCCATCTTTTTGGAAGCCAACTTGACCTTATCTTCCAGATGACCGCGAAACTGAACGTCACTCGTTATGTCAACGCTGAAAATACCGAAACTGGCTGAGGCAACCAGGGGAGTGTTCTCAAACCGGAGATTCACGACAAAGAGATCTTTTTAGCGGTAATGGCGCATACTTGTGTCTATTGTGTAAATGGCCTTAGTTTAAAATAAAAATAATATAAGTTTTGTTAGCGCCTGCAATATCTTCACAGCAAAATATCATTAAAGGGTTTTGGTCGTCCATAGTATAATACTGTTTAATAAATATAGGTGGATATATTTAAATATCCTTTCTTATGATACTGATTTGATATTTTTAAATTGGATAGTAACAAATTCTTTACTAAAGTATCCGCTTGGAGCTTATCGTAGTTGGAGCTGAGGAAAGAGGCACTCACAAAAAAAAACCAACTCGACAATACAGAAAGAAGAAATAAAGAAGTAGTTATGTGTGTGTATTTGTTTTTCGCTGGCTCGATTACTTTTATTTAATTTTCCACATGTTCTAGGATTTTTCTGTAAAGAGGTTTGCACATTGCAACATTTCAATAAACATTTTTTAACCTATTAAATTTCACTCTATGTAGTCTATGCGCGAATTTAAACTTACGTCAGACATCAAACTGAACTTTTGTTAACGGTCATCTGTGAAAGTAAACTTTCTGATATTATTGTGTTATCGTGAAGTAAATAATACTTTTTCAATTTTGTAAGGCTGTGATTTCATTGACAATAAAATTATGACAATGCAGATCGACAAAGCCGCAGAAGTGGCAGCACTTCGGAATAAAATAAGAAATCATGAAGCTTATGGAAAGCCGTAAATACCGCTATTTTTATTACTTAAATCAATGTTAAAGGTACGATAGATTAAATATGGGAGATATCATTTGTTTTAGATATAAGTGGTCGCCCAGAGACTTCGAACTCGGCCATGGACTAGGGAGAGGAAAATTTGGTCACGTTCATGTGGCTAGAGAGAAGAAAACTGGATATTTAGTTGCTATCAAAACGTTGTTCAAGTCGCAATTAGTTAATTCAAGATGTGAACGCCAAGTACTTCGGGAAATTGAAATACAAACTCATCTGAAGTAAGTTTCTGTACAATTAAAACTATTATTGTCACATATACAGATCATGTAACAACATTTGTTTGTGTAAGAATAAAATAACAATGAACATACCTCTTTATTTGACAGACATCCAAACATTCTTCAAATGTTGACTTGGTTCCACGATGAAAGAAGAATTTACCTTGTTGTGGAGTTTGCAGCTGGTGGGGAACTTTACAAACATCTTACTAACTCACCACATGGACGATTTCCTGAACCCAGAGCTGCTAAAAGCATATATCAGGTAAAATTAATTGTGTACTTAGCTGTCCCCTCCCCTACCAAATTAAGATGTTACTTAACTAGACTACCATACAGAAATTTATGAATAAAAAAAAACAGACTAGTCATGGGTAACTCAACTATAAATTATGGCCTGCAGATTGGGTCACAGTTCACCCAAGTAAAGTAGTTCAGTGAACCAACTCTACAATAATAGTACAGTAGTTGTATAAGCTGCCAATTTAATTACTGAAACAAGCTCCAGTTTTAAGACTATCAGAACTGAGCTTTAGACTTGTTCGGAGCTTATTTACACATCACTATACTAAACTGATGCTATGTTAAATGGTGGCACATTAGTTGTTTATAGATAGACATTAATTGTTATGCATTTTGAATCTTGTAACAGTAGCATTCTTGTTTATATTTCAGGTAGCAGATGCAGTAGAGTACTGTCACCAGAGACATGTCATACACAGAGATATCAAACCTGAAAACATTCTTGTCTCTTACAACGGTGATCTAAAACTTGGTGACTTTGGTTGGTCTGTGCATGCACCATCAGAGAGGTATGGTTTACTAAAGTTTGCTTATTCCTCTTTCAGTTTCATAATCATGTAATCTCATAATTGAGATATATACTTTGAAAATATTCACATTATTAAAATATGAATGTTTAGTTGAATGGATGTTTGTTGCTACTATATTGAAGTGTCTGGAAGAACACATAGGCAACTAATCAAGTATTTATATTCTGCGGAGATGAAGTAAAGGGTGATAGCTATTCGGAAATAGCTAAAATTTTTAATGTATATGAGAAAAGTAAATTTGAAATAAAACCTGAAAGTAAGCAGTAAGAAATTCGTACTGTATATGAGGGGGATATCAAGAAAATATTGTTGCAATATATTTTAACAGCTAGTTTTAATTTTTAGAGTTTTTTAAATAAAATAAATCAAATACAATTGTTTTCTTTTTTTGCAGGCGTAAAACAATGTGCGGTACCTTAGATTATCTGGCTCCAGAAATGATAACAAGACAAGTTTACAATTTATCAGTTGATTTGTGGTGTATTGGAGTTTTGTTGTATGAGTTTTTGGTCGGAAAACCACCATTCGAAAGTAAAGACCAAGATAATACATATGCCAGAATTATTGCCATAGACTTAAAATTTCCCTCTTACGTCCCTGAGGGTGCTAGGGATTTAATTTCAAAGGTAAGTGTTTACATTTAAAATATAAAATTATTTTATTGTCTCCCCGTATACAGTCCTGTGTTAGAGGTATTTGGCTTTTTTATGCTTGTTCACTATCATATAACTTTTAATTTTGTTCCCCTGTACGAATTTTTCATATCATACTTAAGATTTATCATACAAATGTAGTTTTACATTTATTAATAACTTCTGTATAGGATATGGCAATTGGTAATAAAAAAAAAGAAAATGATTACTGCATTGCTATTATTTTGTGTATAATTTTTTTCTACTACAATGTGAAATGATTTTATAGTATTTACAATCTTATTATGTTTTTATTTCAGCTTTTAAAATATCAAGCTACAGATAGGATATCACTTGCGGAGGCGAAGGTTCACCCTTGGGTTCAACAGTACTACAGTGGTCCAAGCACACATAAACATTAGTATTGCATAATGCTTGGTTCACACTGGGCCATTACAGTTGGACATTAGCACAACCAGCAATTGTATACACTGGCGCCAGTTAGTTATCACATTATACTAGTTGAATTTAGTAGATTTTACTAACAAGTGTCAATCGAAAGTCTCTTTGTCTAGATGGTCATCGGCAAACCTGCACACAGCTGACACAAATTTATTTATGATTTGTAACTGCTGAATATATATATAAAAAAATGACATCACATAATCTGACAATGGAATATTTCTTTCATCAATTTAAACATAGTAAATGCTGAGTTGTGGATGGATGGATCATATTACTCCAAATAGAAAAATAGACTGATAAGAGATTGCAGCCTGATAGAACAAAGTATATTCTAAGAGTTGCAAAAGCCTAGTGTAAATATGCCGTATGTGAAAAAAAAATAGTTTATGAAATTTGTACTTTTAATCAATAAATGTATACTTTTAATATTAAATGTATAAACTTTTTGATTTTTACATTATTTAATTTTATAGGAATTTTTGCTTAAACACTATAGACTGTAACCGAAATTTGTAATCCATTTTAATCCATCTTTACTACCCTTAGCCGGTTTGTATTCCAACCCAATCCAATCACTGTATCCATTGTCATCTAAATGTTGCAGTATGTATGGATAGTTTATTTCTCCTGGTACATCTGGTTCATTCCGGTTTGGCACCTGAGCAATCTGCAAATGTCAAACTGCAGTAACTACTGTAATTGGTTAAATGTCATACTAATAATCTAAATGTGAAAGTTTTAGAGCTACTATATTAAATTTAAAAGTTAAGTATATGCCAAAATATTGTGCTTAGTCAAGAAATATTTACCTGAACATGTCCCACGTAAGGCATTAGGTTTTTAATATTGTGAGACAAATCTCCGCAAATGTGCTGAAGATGGAATATATCCAACTGAAGTTTGAGATGTTCACTGCCAATACGTTTTATTATATCCACGGCTGTAAAAATACAAAACTTGATAGTTAAAAACATAGGCAGGATCAATCAGAGTTGGCTGAAATCATCAGTAAATTAAAATATGAAACTACCTTTCCCATAATCACTCAAGAAATATTTTGGTACCGAATGCTGATTGATGGGTTCTATTACACCTAACAAGTTTACATTTTTTAAGACATCAGCCGCATATTTTAAATTTTTCTCATATGTTTCCCAATTACTGGTGGTAACGTTTTCCAGCTTTCCCGCCATTATGTGAATTTTTTTCGCGCCCACTGCTTTCGCATAGTCAATGGTAACTTGTAAATTCTCTTTAAATTCATTTTCTTTACCAGGTATGGCTGTAACACCTAATTCTCCTCTGCTTACATCACCTGTAAAGTATTTTAAATATCCATTTATAAAGGAGTTATATTTACTTGTAGCCATTTCAGGTATTTAGATAATAAATATTTTTTTTGTATGTTGGTATATTATTTGCTCTCAATCCCTTAATTAAACTAAAAATAAGCAGCTGTTAAGTTATTACTAAATTTACTTTGCCTCGCTTTGCATTGATTTTGTTTATTGAAAATTTATATGAGTACGGACTTACCTGTCTTGAGATTTATTAGTACTTGCTCGATCCCGGCAGATTCCTTTGCTTTTTTCACTTGCTCTACCGTATGACCAAAGGGAAAGCCGGTTTCAACGGCTTTGAAACCTGCTTCTTTAGCCAGAGCATATCTTTCTAGTATAGTAGCCCCTTCAGTGAACATAAACGAAAGATTCGCACAGAACTTCATAATTATGAACTCTTATAAGAAAATAAAATCAACAACTTATAGGTTATGTTGTTCTGTCACTAATGACATTTGCAAAAGTTTTATGAACAGCGTTATCAACAGGTTGTTTATTATCAGTAGCACAACGCAAAAGCCACAATCAATATGAACTCGTGATAAGATAAGCAATGTCAACCTTCTTTATGATCTACATCGAAATAAAAACAATTGGTAGCAGTTAAAGTTTCAGTATTTCGTTTTTTTTTTGCGAAAACCATAGTTATAGTCAGTTCTCGTTAAAAACGTCATAATTTAAAATCTGCAGGTCCTGGGTTCACGACTACCCATATATATGCCAGCATGTTAATAAGGTCTAGTAACCCCTAACATATGGTAGGTACCGAGCCCCTCTATGGAAACTTGTAGTGACCTGAAAATATTAATTATGGAGAAGGTACATATAGCAATAAATAAAACAAGAAACTGACAAGCCGTATTATTTTTATCTATGAATAGTAAATTCGTTTGTTATCATTATAAACATAATACCGTTATACTCTTACTTACATTTTATTTTAATGAATACATAAACACAGATTAAAGTTTAAAATAACGTAAAGTCCAACAAAGACGGAATGGTCAACATAATTAATCAATAAGGTAAAAAAATAACAAAACCCAGAAGTTATTTAAATAATTAAAAACAATAGGCATAATTATTAATTAGGAAATGGCTGCCTCTTTAGTAGCAAGTAATAGTAGGTTGTAAACGGACTATAGAATTAAAATTAAACTCATTATAATAATCTTAACTAATATTGTATTACACATATACATTTACATATTTTAAACCAACACTGAGTACATTTCAAGATTTATGATTCGTAAATACACAATAAAATGTAGTGTGCGGTACGTTTTTCTTTAGTTATTTTTTTTAATAACTGACTTAATTTCAGGTCTGTGCTTTTATGTAGTTATTGGTTTAAAATAAGTATATTCCTATAAAGCTTAACGTATTAAAGGGCACAAAAACAAACATTAAAAACAAAAAAACAAAACACTTAGTAACTGCACCACAAGGCACATGATTTTTTAATTTTCAATCACATAACCAGGTTTGGTTTAGTTACCATTATGTATAAACAAAACGAAAATTTTTCTTACCTTCAAATTAATAGTAATTCAAATTAAGATTGGTGGATAATTCTTACATCTAAAATAAATGCATGTGCTTTTAGTATACAGTCTTCATATAAAGAGGTATTCATGGTCGATATAATATTAATATAAATATGCTTTTTGATATTAACACAGCCATGTTTTACAACGTATATCAACTTATTCTAGCGTAGGACTATGTAAACAATCATATATAAAATACTAACTATGAATCATATGTCAACAGTTCTTTCGGTATTTAGAGGAAAGAAATGTTTTGAGCAGACTGTGCCAATACCCTGTAAAGCGTTTTCTTTGAGCTGTAATGGCAACCATTATGATTTGCGCGCGCCACTTTGTTAGGCATAGACAATTTTTGCTTTTTAATTTCTTTTATAAAGAATTATTTGACAGCATTATCCAGAATTATAGACCTACAAGGATATCTGACCCGATGGGCTGAAATCAAACTAATTTATGACAGTCCACTAGAGCCCTCCTGTCAATAAAAAAAATAGGTGAGAACTGCGATACCACTTCTCACCGACCCAGATATACTTGTTTGTATGTGAAAATCTGTTATCAATAAAATCAAAACTAATGATAATTATAATGCAATCTATCAAAAAAATTACATTCACCAATATAGCAATATATTCGACTTACGGCACTATTCTGAGGGCCTGTTATAATCAGAAGGGACTATGTTACAGTCATCTGCAAACCAATTCTTTTGACAATGAAGAACAATATTTACAAAGCAAATTATGCCAGGTAATAGTAATATTGACGGAGAATAAAACGTAACACTTGATGCGCAGACGACTGCTAATGGTGTATAAAAGGGTAAAGCTCAGTACACAGGTTAAAAATGTGTCACAAAAATAGATAGGATTATTGGATGAAAGTTACGATGTATGAAATAAGAAATTTTAATAGGTGTAAAGGTCACCCTGCAAGATCTGTGCATGTTTCCACTTAGCGGCTAGTAGCGGAACTATGGTCATGCTGCAAACCGTTAAGTGGAAATGGGATTTAAGTCTACCACTCGACGAGTCGCAGCGAGACCGGGGACTTAGGAGACAGCAGAAAGTCGAACTGGATGTCCAGCTCGCCGTCAAATTCGACCCGCCAGTGTTGCATTATCTACAACATAAAAAAACTAGTAAAACTTCTCATTTTTTAGCCATAGATGGCGCTGTTCACATTGTTATCGAAATTCTGAAATCCTACAAAATTCTTGTCATTTACGTTACATTTATTTAAGCTCTTCGTTAAACTGCACAAATTATTGATTAGTTTCGTATAACATAATCATGTTATCTATTTTTATTAAATTTCTAACACCATTACAGCTTTATGAGGTAGCCATAGTCTCGTTATCTTATGAATTATGTTCTGCCATTATCTGGTCGAACATTGCGCAACAACAATTTGTTTAAGGAGTGATAACTTAAATTTGTTGTGAAATCAAACGTCCTCTCGGCGACATACTTTGTCTATGATGAATCACTTCCGCCATGTCACAAGTCACAAGCAATCTTACAATAGATAGTACTGGTTCTATGCTGTCCCTATTCTAACACAGTACAAAGTTTCCCTTACTTTCGTACCGGATGCTTCATATGTTTTATACCTTTCAAGCAATTTATATAGACTAACTTTCTTTTTAACATTAACTTTGAAGTTGAATTTAAGTTGTTTAAGTTCAAATTAAATGTTCCAATACGTAAGTAGGTCAAATCTATCAAATCTGTTTGACACATACCTTGGCCAACAGCAGATGTAGTTCTAGTTCAACGAATCGTTTCCCGGGGCACATGCGGCGGCCGCGGCCGAAGGGCGCCACGAGGCCCGGCGAGTGCGGCTCCAGCCCGCCCGCCCAGCGCTCCGGCAGGAACTCGCGCGCGCGGCAGAAGTTCTCCTCGCGCCGGCACGCCGCGCCCGTGTGCGCCAACACAAATGTCTGCATTTTAACACAATGAATAAGAAACCAGCTATAAAACACCTAGGACTTATCTCGCTTGTCATGTGAATAAGACATATATAATTACAAGGTGTAATACACTTGGTACTGGAAGAATAGAAGAATCTTCTGTCAATTTAAACGTTTTAATACTACTAAAATGCGAAAGTTTAAAGGATGGATGGATAGATGCATGTTAGAGTTTGTAAACTAAACTGCTGAAAGGATCTTGATGAAATTTGGCATAGATGGAAAAGAGTGTATGCAACAACACATAGGTTAAGGTAGTTACTTTATTTTATTTCACGCGGACGTAGTCGCGGGCGAAAGCTAGTATTAAAATGAAGACAACTGTTCATTGAGTGATTGAATGATATTGCTTTGCGCAGTTCAAATGGTGTTGCGGTGCATCATTACTTGTCGGCGCTGGAGGTGGCAACACTTCCTCGCCATATTTGCGACGCGTCAATGTGTCGACTTCTTTCTTGCCGCTTCTTTCCTTTTGTGTGACAGACCAATCGGACGGATCATTATAACAATACAAATGTGTACAACAACTTTAAATTTATAACGCTACCGAACCGGTAGCGTTATAAATTTAAAGTTGTTGGCACACAGGGAAAGAAGTAATGCGACACATTGACGCATAGCAAATATGGCGGGGCAGTGTTGCTAGCTCCAACACCGAGAACGAGTGATGCGCCGCAACACAGCACTAAACTATCGCAATAGCTTTTAGTTATCTCTAATGCGCAAATAATATTGTACCATATCATTCATGTTGTATATGAACATACATAAACATAATATTTTATTGACCACAATTACATTATTGTTATAATATTTATAATTTTTTTATCTTAATGCGAATAATATGAACTATCCATTGTTCTTCTATGTTGATTTTAATAATTTATTTTTATGTTTATTATAATGATGCAAGAAGCTTTTAAAATATGTAGAATTTACTTTGAATTTCTCATAGTATTTTACATGAAAAATCTGCTATTCTAAAACTGTAAAGGCTTACATACACAACAATCACCAATTACCACGACTTCTTAAAAATCATCAGCGTGTTTAAGATAAAATGTATTTGAGATGCGATCCAAGTTTATTCTGGGCATCATTAAACTTCTGTTTTTAATGTGTAAGAATAGATGGAGCAACGGTAGAATAATGGTTAAAAAGACACTCACACCAGCATCCAACCTATGTCCGGCGACATTCATAGGCTTGTCGAGTAGACGAGCTAGAAACGGTGCAGTTGGCAGCAATCGAAAAGCCTCCTTGGTAGCGTCACGTATAGAAGTAGCGGCGGAGAGGTCCTCCAGGTCGAGTCGCTTGGTGACCGGCAGCTCGGAGCGGATCCTCTCCTGCCAGTCTGGACGTCCGCTCAATAGGTACAGCAGGAACACGAGGCTGTTTGCTAACTGTTGCAGAGACCGATGGTTAGACGTAGATAATGAGTAGGAATAGAGAATTAATAGACATAGAGAACATAGAAAGTAATCACGGCGCCGATAGGCGGAATGGGTTTCATTGCATTAACTAGGTAATTTTTCCAGAAGTGGAACACCGCGGATTTCCGCGTCTGTACTTAACTTTATCAAGTTAAGACTTTCGAACTAGAATAAATTGAAATTTTCGCTTTGATCGTTGTCAAATAGTAGAATCGACTAATCTTGATATTTCACATCTATGGTTTTATTTAGATTGTTCACTCACCGTCTCAATGCCGGCAGTGATGAAGTCAATAACAGCGGCCTTCTTATCGCGGGTATCGAGCTCCGGGTTGGCGAGGATATTGAGGAAGATCTCCCGCATGCCGTCGTCCTGCGCCGCGCCGTTCGTCCGCGACATCGCCTCATCCATCAGCTCGGATATTATCCTGCCACGATATCGTTAGATTTCGTATAGAGTACTATCGACTATTGGGAGACAGATAAAAAACTATTAAATCGTACAATTTCAGGTGTTTCTTTTGTAATTACATTTAAAACAATTTGCTGTATTAAAAATTAAGTAGGGAGAATAATGTGCTGTAGTCTAACTAAGTTAATCTTTCATTCTTTGTATGATTTTCAGTCATGGTAACAAAACAACGATGTCCGAAATATATTGCTGGTTACTCAATTATTATTTTTACTTCAACCTATGCAAGCATTCCTATGAATTCCATTTCAAAAAGCGTGCCTACAATTTCCTCAAAGGCCAGCAACGCTTCTGTAGTTCCTCTGGTGATGCGGATGTCCATGGGCATCGTTGACTATCTCTGTGTTCTCGCCGATCGTTTGCCCCCTTCTCTTATAAAAAAATCATTAGGACTTACATATGTATGGTCTCTTCGCTCTTTACAAAGGTCCTGTACAGATTTGTGGGGGCGAACTTCCACAGAGGTGCACCGTAGTAGGAGTCCCGCTGGGCCCTGAAGTGCGCCTTGACTGCTGCCGCTAGCGCCGCCGCCCGCCCAGACATCCAGCGCTCAAGGAACCCGAGCCGCGTGCCTAGCATTAGACCGCATACAGCTAGAAATAAAAAACATACGTGTCATTAATTATGTGTACTAAGCAAAAGGTGGAATTGTTACACACTAATCAATGTATACGTAGTTTTCATCGTACCTGATGTCGAAAAACTCCGTAAATGAAAACTACGTAGAACACCCACGAGAGGACCTCAAACCATTAGACTCTGATATGTACGTACAAACTCATGTATATTTTTTTATCACATGACGCAAATTAAAGGAATCATTTGTATTAGTTCCGCAGTATCGATTATTTTTTATTCGCAAGGCCAAAGCAACTTGTACTTGAAAATTTGGCAGCGTCGGAAACGACCGATTATCGACTACCTACATAATTGAATTAAGATATTGCGACGCAAACTTTGTGCGGTGCGGTGCAAGAAAATGTTTAAAAACGATATTATTTAACACACAAAGATCTTTTTATGAGCTTTATTACATTTTTAGACTATAAAAATCAAGAGTACTTTAAAAAAATGTATAAAAATCGTCATAATAACTCTGGACTATGGTAACTTTTGAATATTATTTAAAAGGATAGATATTTGAAGGACATCATTGGCTGTTTCAACAAGTAACTACCGACTTCATATCTGGAGCAATGTCAAGATTGTCTTACTTAGCTTACATTTACATTACACTCAAAGAGATAAGATCAAAAAACAATACAAATGCTTGTATTATAATTTAGCCAATACGATAGTAATCTTAGTAATCTTGTTTTGTGAGATCCATTGTGCTGAAACCAGATCCTTTAAAACATCTTCCCTTTGCACCCCAACATACTCTGTACATGGCCAAACAGGTTTCAAGTATAAATGAATAAAGGATGTAGAATTTCGGGACGAGGTCCTGCTGATATTTAGGGTTTTATATAAATAAAAAACATACATACGAATTGAGAAGATCGCCCATTTTGAAGTCGGTTAAAAGTGGTACAATCCCAGCCAAAAATAACTTGCAAAAACAGTCATCCTTTTTAAAGAAATAGAGATAACGTGTTCTTAAAAAGTTGGTTCGACCTTGAAGTGAATTAAACTACAATATCAGACGCTTAACGGCGCTACTTATGATTCCTTTCTTTCAATCTGTACATTCAACATACATATTCACGCTTGCTACTCGGACGTAAACAGAAATTGCAAAGTATTTAGCGCGATCTTATGACATCTCATATTTTACCTTTATGCGCGGGTGCTTACTTTATTAATTACTAGATTTCGCCCGCATCTCTATTCGCACGGAATTAAAAAAAAAACAACTAAGTATATGTGCTCTTCCAGACTATATTCTACATCTGTGCCAAATTCTATCCAGATCCGTGCAGAAGTTTACGCTACAAACTATAACAAACATCCATCCAAACTTTCGTATTTACAGTATTAGTAAGAAGTAAGATAACCATATGATGATGGCGTAGGAAAAAAGGCAGACAGATGGTGATATAAATTAAACAAGATAAAACTTCTAAATCTGAATAATGTTTGTCTAAAACGATTTCGTTGCACGTTGCAAGTTCTGTGTGAACGGAACGAATCAATAGCATCTGCTGTTGAGTTATCTCCACAACTACGAAGCGTTACGAGCCCGGCGATAGCTCGCTAACTAGGTCCTACGTACACTATGAGTTAGGTATTTTAATGGACTGTCTCTGTTCCATAATTTTATTAATGCGTTTTAATCAATTCTTAATATAGGTTATATCAACATATGGGTAGACGTTAGGAATGCAAAAAACTGTCTAATTGTAGTTCCCACAAAAAATATATCAACATGTCCCGAAATATGAAAGAGATGCGTTCTCAAGATTTTACACTTTTTCTCCCTGTTTAGGTGTGTGTTCATCTTAATCACTGATGTTAATTACGTTAATTATTAGCAAATTAATAACTTTTTGGCTTAATATCGAACCTATATCGTTCAAGACTATCCAATTCGTCTCGAACAAGTTAGTCACCCTATCCGCAGCTGTCATAATTCTTGCGTCGATAACCGAGTGGTATCATAATGCACTTCTAATGTTGCATTCCTCGCGGCGATGCGAGGCGACGCGAGGCGATGCGGGCACTATCACTATCGCCGCTATTCCTACGATATCTGACCTACATTAAGCGACATTATCAGATGCAGCGTCATATTTTCGTCATTGAAATGCTGTCCGTCGATTTATGTTCCGTGTCTTCCAACAGACAACATTATGACGTCTTATCTATCTATAATTTTACGATGTATTGAAGGAAAACTGAATGCTTTATTAGTTAGATATGTACTATCAATGTTATCATAGAAACTAGAATAAGGTTATGATAGATATAAGTCATCATCATCATCATCATCATCTTTCTCATTATCCTACTCCTGTAGAGTCGGCGCAAAAGGTTTTTGTCCTCCACATAACTATCATACGTCATCTCAGTCATCACTCCCTTCTTGTTCATGTTACCTTTCATTCACGCAATCCATCTCTTTCTAGGTCTACCTCTACCGGTGTATCTCATAACTAACGTTCTCCTTGTAACATGCGATTCATCCCTCCTCGTGCCCATACCATGCTAACCTTTTGTTCCTTACCTTCTCTACCAGTGGGGCTACTCTCAAACTTCCAACAAACAAACTAAACTTATGACAGATATAAGTTTTGAAGTAGTTACTAGGTGAGCACTTTAACTTACATAATTTTGGAATTCACACACACACTTTAAAATAAATCAAGCCGATTAATCTGCGGTTCACTGTAAATAGCCAAAATATGCACCCATGAAATACAAATATCCTTCTAGTAGCAAAATTAACCAAGCAACTAACACAATTTTATAGAAATAGAATTAACCTTGAATACCACCTGTCGCAGATAAAATTCCAAGGGTGACAAACATTACGACTAATTAGATAAAACTTATTTGAATGTTAAATAAGTTTATTTCGTAGCCTTCACAAAACAAGATAGCCTTGACGGCGACGGCGCACCAGGTTTCAACGAAACTATCTATCTTCCGTCATCATCTCTTCTTAGTCATATTACCTTTACCTAATTCAGTTCTTTCTACGCAAATAATACCTTTAAGCAGATACAAATTGAGCTTTGATATTTAAATTTCTTTTCGCATATGATTCTTAAAATAAAAAACATCTTACAAAAATCATACGTAAAATATTATCATCATATTAATTGAAGCTATTAATTATTATTAAAGCCACTTTCTTTAAGGACTGATACGAAGGGTAATTATTCGTAAACATTGATAAAACATGTTGGCATTGAATAAATATAAAAAGAAAACGTTCAAGTGAACATAACGCGTCGCTATCACGTGCACTATCGCACCAGTAAATTAATTACTGCACTGTTGACCGGGCAAAGGTCGTCGAGGTGGGCAAGGGATCTCATTGAAAATGTTGTTGTTATACCAAAGTTAATTGTCCACCAATTGTTTACATTTCATATTATCAAACGTATTATCCAACTCAAATAATATTCGATATTACGTTTTAAAAAGTAACACTACTGATTTAAGAAGGTCAATGAAAAACCTTTTCATCTATAATATAAATCAATTAATCTGCAAAACTACAAATAGAGGTCACTTATTATTACCATGTTAATGAACCTTCGTGATCTTGATTTATAAAACAGCTGCCTATTATCGTTTAGTATGCTGTCAGCTTAACTAGTTTAAAGATTTCCGAAAATTATGGAAAACACATCAAGTATAGCTTTAACATGTTTTTAAGTCAAGGTAAGTCAAAGGGACGGAGTTGCCTCGGCTGCTAGCACAGGTGGGGCTGTGGATATATGCGCAAGCGTTCCCTTAGTCCAGCCACCAGCCAACATGCGCGTTACCAACACTATTCGCATAGGCATGTTCCTCACATAAATAATTTAAATATTCAAGGTAATTTTAACCATACATAATAATTAGCTCTAATTGTATGTAATAGATATCTGTGCCATTATAATCGTAGACCCCTATCATAAAATATAACAATTTCAAATCGTATTATAAATGGATACAGTTTACGTTAAACATTATCTTACAAAGTAATTGTATCTCGTTTGTAAACGTTGATAAAAATCGTGCGACTTCGTTACGCAATTTTTTCTCAGTGTGTCACTAACCTAATTACATAAATAATCGAAACGAGCAAAGTCAAAGTCAATGCCGAATTACTTTATTGATTCGAAATAATATGAATTAACTGATAAGGGTTTATTTTCACGAATATTTTCAGTTCATTGCTACTTAAAATTTTATCAGCAATTTTAATATGTATGTTAATTTGTTTTCTCGATGAAATTTGACATAGATGTAGAAAATACTCCGGAAGAACACATAGGCTACTTATATTTGTTTTTTTTTTTAATTCCGCGCGGACGGCGTCGCGAGCCAAAGTTAGTGTGTATTTAAAGCTGCAGACGTAAATAAAGCGTGGCCTTGTATTTTTTTAATTAACCGAGTTCTCAAATCGTCCGTATGCCCATATAAGAACGGAAGTTATACGTAGCTTCACGTAGGTGTACAAAGCCTTTTGTTTCAACTTTTTGGTGGGGACAAAACTTGAAATTGCTTCCCTCGACCTTGAGTTACAAAGGCAGGTGCAGACCGAATTGCAAGAATATTTTGAATGCGGGGAACTACCAAAAAGACCCCTTTCGCATGTTTGTTCAAACAGGGTTGCGTTGTTTTAACGGAAAACGATCATATCGTCGAAAATTGTGGACCCTATTTCTGGAATTTTCGTATCTCTGTTTTTAAATTTGGATATATTTAAATTTAAATTGTACACACAAATATAACAAAGGGCTTTCAGTATATGCTTCTTTTGAATTTCGAAAATAAGGTTAAATAAAACGTTTCCTACAGTATATGCTTTCCGAAATCCAACCGTTTTTGATTATTTGTGTGCGTAATTGGTGATGCAATAGGGTTTTACCTCATTGTTCAATTTATAACTAAAATCAACAATTTTATAGGTAATATATAATATCTATAAAAACTAGCTTTTACCAAGATTAAATCTTACTAATATTATAAATGCGAATATTTAGATGGATGGATGGATGTTTGTTAAAAGATATCACCAGAAACGTTCAACGGATCTCGATTAAATTTGGAACAGATGTTGATATTAGTATGGAAGTACATTTTTTTTTAATTGCGTACGGTCGAAGTCGCGGCCAAAAGGTAGACTAACGTTTTTACCGTGAGAACGGGAAATAGTTGTGATATATAAAAACATAAAAGATTTAAGCTAACATGAAAAAAACACAGCCTTGAGAACAAAAGAGTCATGGTGTACGGGTGTACATGGCCACCAAGATACATGTAGATAACAAATGTACAAAAATTGTTTATGTATGTTTAATAGATAATCTATTTTATTACGACTCGACATGTCATGCTGGGAATTCAATTAAAAACAAATTAAATTAAATTTAATATCATTTTCAATCACAAATTTTAAGCAACATAGATTTCATTGTAATTAAATCAAAATGAGATAAGTATTATTTTGATTGTTGTAAAAAAATCCAACTTAAGAATGACATCAAAATTAACAACATATAACTTACGAGCTGTTGCCCGCGACTTCGTCCGCGTGGTATTAGAAAACATAAATACGAACTATATAAATTACAAAAAGCTACGTATCCCTCGGGAACCGGACATGTCTCGGGGATGAAGCTTATGCCATGTGTACTCCAGACTTTGTTTTATTTATGTGCCAAATTTCATTAATAAAATGATCATGTAAACATTAAAAAACTAAATTAATGAATCCTACGGGAACCGTAACTATTCCCGGGATAAAAAGTAGCCTATTTGTTCTTGCAGACTATGCTCTAAACCTGTGCCAAATTTCATGGAGATCCGTTCAGCCGTTTAGGCTACAAACGCTAACAAACATCCATCCATCCAAACTATCGCATTTATAATATTAATAAGATAAGATTAGTAAGATGTATGAATTTAATTAAAATAAGAAATTATAACAAACATATCTAAACAGTTTTACTTTTATAAGGCTCTAATCATAAACTAAATAATAAATAGATATGTTTATAGCATCAATTTAAACACAAAGGTAAGTAAAAATCTTACTAATGTTATAAATGTGAAAGTTTAGATGTATGGATGTTTGTTAGAGTTTACCGCCTAAGCACCTGAACATATCTCGATGAAATTCGACATAGATGTTGACTGGAAGAACCAATAAGCTGCGCACTATTTTTTTTTAATTCCACGCGGACGGAGTCGCGTGCTTAAGCTATTTTTAATACACTACGTATGTAAATTTAAAATATTATTATACATTATATTATCTCATGAGTTATGGTTGATCTTTTTTACTAAAAACGTGTTCTAATGTTACACGTATAAATGTAAATCGCATAATAAATATAAAATTTCGCGTCAAAACAAGTCAGTTTTGCTTGAATCTACGATCTAGATTTTAAATGACTAACATAAAGGAATTCCTTAATTATATTTAGGTATAATCTATTTCGTCTAGACAGAGAGCAATTACATTTTTGCAGGAAGGAATCATGATAACTTATTCATCATAAATTTATTGTTTAAGTATTCTTTGGTTAATTATTACGCCGTCAGTTCATATAAATAATGTTTTTCTGCAACATTACAATTTTATCTCTATTAATTATTTAATTAGAAATATAATTTCCAGGAAAAAACAAAAGTATTAATGTAATTTGATTTAAATTGGATGTCGTAAGAAGATATTAAATATATTTTTTTCGTTGTTCCGCTGTCCATAGAAATGGAATCAGAGAAATTGTTATCTATAGCGTCCATAAAAATATTTATTTACAATCGGAGCCGCTAGATGGCGCTGACATCGGTTTCATACAACTCAACGTTCTTCTAAGACAAATTTTAATAAGTCAATATTCTGCTAGTACTTACATTCGAGTCCCATTCTATTGGTGAGCTGCTCGAAGCCGTAGACCGTACCATCAGGCCTGCGGCAGGAGTTAAGGAGGTGGATGAAGTCGTCACAGATGCAGTTCAGCTGCGGCAAGAAGCCCTGCATCGTGTGAGGGCTCGTGATCTCCGAAGTCAGGTGTCGGCGTAAGTGCACCCAGTTATCGCCTTGTCTGTAAGGTAAGAACGCTTTAAGTCAAACGAACGAACGCCCTTACTCTTAGTGGGGTATCAAGAGACATACTGTTCTATTTTTTTAGGGATTTACTGCCTTCTATCAGATTGGTTCATTGGGAATAGATATTAATGCTATTGCACTTGCTGTGCGTCTCCTAGGTTAGAACCTTTAATCGACGAAATGGAGAGTGTTGCCTACACACAAGTGTAAACGTAAATGTCAATTTGCGGCAGTAGCTAATCGCTATTTCGGCTAATTTAGGTAGCCGCTGATCGTTTGCCACCTCAGGATATAATAAAATGCATTTTAATCTTACACCCTTTTACTTAGCTTTACCTACACTTAGAATGGAACAGGACATGGAGTGTAATGATTAAATTTAGTCAAGCATAAAGTTCTACCGCATGAATTAGTCGACGATTTCAACACATCGCGGTTACATTGGATAACTGAAGACCGGATAACCGAGTCTTCACAACATTGTATTATATTAACACCAATGTTTAAGTGGTTAAGTCCCGTTTACCTAACAGTTAATACTGGTGAAAGCCCAGTTCGTATTTCCTATCGACCTCAACCATCAGAACCCGCTTAGAATGTTTCCGTTAGCGCTGGGTTTCCATACACTTAGTACAAACTTAGTGATATTTATAAAATTTCTTAGAACAACACTAATTACTACATTTAATCGTCTCACGGTCAGTAATGGTAACTTAGTGTCTTCTACTAAAAAATAGCACAATTTACTTAAAAATGTTTCGTTCATGCTTGCTCCTTCACTCTCATGTAACAGATGTGTCCTTAAAGTAACCCGTCCTTGCCATACATCTCTACCAGCCGTCATATCTGAATCCACTCCTTTTTTAAGCAGATCCTCTTTCACACAATCCATCCATACTTTGTTCGGTCTTCCTCTTCTTTTGTAGCAATCCACGTTCAATCTTAACACTAAGACTAAGAAGTATCATTTCACCATAAAATTGACCTACAGGACCTCACGTGTGTGTTTATTGTAAACGATATACAATTGCGAAAACTTCTATTCAAAACGTCAAAGACTAAATATACAATAGAATCTTATCGCAAACGTGGCCTTTGTTATGGTTATTACATTGTTCACATTTTGGGTACAGAGTAGCAGGAAGTTAGGTATTCGGGACGTCGTAGAAAAAACTAGTCGAGGCACTGTCAAGGTTTAGATAGCTACGTGACCGGCGAATATAAAACCTCGTCAAAATATCAATGATGTTCTATTTGAATAATTTATCATTTTCCTCCTGCGATTTAATTATTTTGACGATTGACAATGAAATAGATATTCCAATTCTAAGTTTCGTTGGAGAACTATTTTTCCTTCTCTTTATCAAACTACTAAAACCCTTAGTTACACTATTCTCTAGAAAAGATAAGGAGTTTTTAACGTTCGAACTCAAAAACCATAGATTAAGAATATGCACTATTTGGATTAAAACTCTACTAGAAAAGAGATATTTTAAACTAACAGCACAGGTTAGTCTGCACATCGATATCATCACAAACTAGTTTCAAGTATATTTATCCGTCCTGATTTCCTTCCATCAGTCTGAATTACCTATCCAATGTATAAACCGCACGGTAGCTAATAACACCTCTTCAGTTCCCAACGTATGTTTACTTGGTACAATTGAAAGGAAATTATGATTCGTTCCGCGCAGAAAAAATAATCTATGACGTAGATTAAAGATTATGTAACTTATTAAAACGTTTAACTTTTGGATTATTTTTCTGGCGTGCGAGATACAGTTAGAAATTTTATCAAATACTCAGTAAGCAATGAATAGATTAATATGAAAAGTATGGTACAATGAACTTGTCAATTTCTAATTAAAGATAACTAGGTTTCAAAACAGCTTTCTCTTGTCACGGAACTTTGTTGCAAGCGTTAATAAAAAAGCTCACGAGCTTATTTTTTTCATCGCACATGGTACTGGCAAGCAAAAAATATCCACATTACCATTTATTATAAAGTCGTTGTATAATAACGTTGAAATAAGACCATGCAATATTATAAAATTGTTTGAACGCTCTAATCTTGATAAATAAGAATCGTATTTGAAGTAATTCTCATGAATTTCTAATTTTACAAGTTATTTTAAAAGCTACATAACATCGTACTAAGGTCTGCTAATACTGTTAAATAGAACTAGCTAAATCATTAGAAGAAAATCTTTTATTTCCACTAGTATTTGAATTGGACACGAAAATGAATTCGCATTATATTGGCATATCATATAACATTACATTATACTGACTGATAGACTTAAAAAAATCTTGTCAGTTCTTTAATTAATTAACAATCATTATCATCACCAGCTCACTATATGTCCCCACTAAGGGGTTCGGAGCCTACCCTATGTTAGGGTGACTAGGCCATAGTCAACCACGCTGGTTCACTGCATGTTGGTTGACTTCACACATATCTTTGAATTTCTTCGCCGATATAAGCTTGTTGCATCACGTTGTTTTCCTTCACCGTAAGAACGTCGGGTAAATTATGTACATATGGAAATTCGAAAAATTCGAAAATCACATTGGTACATGGCGGGATTTGAACCCAAGACCTGTAGATTACAAGTCAAGTGCTTAAACCACTAAGCCACCGACTCTCTTAATTAACAATCACCACCACCATCACCACCAGCTCACTATATGTCCCCACCGAGGGGCTCGGAGCCTACCCTAAATAAGGGTGTTTAGGCCATAGTCAACCACGCTGGCCCACTGCGGGTTGGTCGACTTCACACATATCTTTGAATTTCTACGCCGATATGTGCAGGTTGCATCACGATGTTTTCCTTCACCGTAAGAACGTCGGGTAAATTATGTACTTATGAAAATTTGAAAAATCGAAAATCACATTGGTACATGGCGGGATTCGAACCCAAGACCTGTAGATTACTAGTCAAGTGCTTAAATCACTAAGCCACCGACTCTCTTAATTAACAATGATTAAGTCGAATAATTACATTTCGTTTGAGTGTGTTATCGAAAGTATTTATTGATACTGCAAGGGACTGTTTGTTGTTGCTATATTCAGAATGCGACGGAGATTATTTCGTGATTTATTGCTTAACATTGGCCTTAATACTGCTTAAAGCACTTTCATTTGACATTCGTTATTGCAGATATGTACGCCAATCAGTATATTGTCTAGTGTTGTTTTGTTCGAGGAACGTTTTGATAATTTCATTAATGTTTCGATACAAATTGAATGATTTATTTTGTATGTAGTTAAGACTCACTTTGATCGTGGATAATAGGAGTTTGACAGTATGTATATTTTGTTTTCCCAATAACCAATGCCAATTTTGTAGATTGTGAAGTGTTTTTAGCTTTTCAGCCAAATAGATCTCACCTTACTATTGTTTTTTTTTTTAAATAGTTGTTACAAAATTAGTTTTACCGCTATAATAAAACATTTCTTTCAATTATACAAGATAAAAATGACAACAAACTTTTAATTAAAAAATCGGCATAGAGTGCAACCTCTTTTGATAAAACTGCAAAAAGTTTCTATACCAAGTGTGGAAAAACAACTGAACGTACTTGGTGTGTTCTAATTTAGTAATGAAGTGTTAGACTATTCTTGTTACAGTATAAACGAATGATATGGACATAAGTTTCTTACTTAGAAACACAACTTAAGTAAAGTCGCTTAGCAACCAAACATGGAGGTGTAACACACTCAAGGAAATCCAGCTAAGTTCGATTAACCGTTAACTAACTATTTAACCTAGATGTAGGTTAACTTGGGCTGGTTTAGCGAGTCTAGATAGAATAGGCCTTGGTTAACGGGCACAAATACGTAGTGCTTACGGTAAATGTAATCAATTACTCTTTATAAATAAATGCTAATTATAGAATAACTTATAGATATTTCTTGACCCAGTGTGGGTAACATAAATTAATACGAGCTTGGCACTAATATGTATGAACACCTATAATATTATACAGACTTATAAACCTGGCACGCATACTAAAGTTCTCCCTTAAACGATTAAATTCGGCAGTCATACTACTAATCGATAATCCATGCAACAAGTAAGTGAGTAGTATACGTCTTTTCAAATATCTCGGCGGCGCAATGCTTCCACTCGCATCCCCCTTACGCCCCGTTACACCCCCCTCTAATGTAGACAATCTTTAAACAATACTTACTCATTAACAAGTCCAGTGGTGGCATATCTGTCGGGCCTGCTCTTGCGGTAGACCTGCACGATCTCTGTTGGTGGCCGGTAGGGTTTCTTGTTGGAGTTCCGCAGCACAGCCTCGAGCGCCGCGCGCTCAGCTATCGACACCACCACCGCGCCCCCTGGCGTCGTCTCCGCGAAGATCGGCCCGTACCGCCTGAACATGTCTGCGTGCAAATATCTCATTGTGACGGCGAGATGTTGGTTAGTGATAGGGACATCTCGACACGCATTATATTAAATTAATACACAGATATTTAATCATTCCTGTTAAGCATTAGTAACTACTAAAAAACTAGTATATTTTTTATTCCAACCGTTTCTTGTCATCATTATTAAAGAGGTCTTATACTTCTTCGACACATACATTGCGAGAGTAATACGACAGACCACATTACTTACGTTAAGAAAAACTATGATTTGTCTCTTAATTACTGTGATTTCAAAAAAAAAATCTTAGATTGTCTAACCTTCATAAGCTTCATGCAGTTTATTCATCCTGTACCGACTCCAGAAGAGCCACCTCGTGCCGAGCAGCGGCAGTGCGGGAGGGCCGGGTAGCCGTATCTGCTTGCGGTCTGGCTGCCGCCCCAGCAGGGCAGTCGCCGCCATCAGCACTGCGACCAACACCAACACCAGTGTAGGCACCCCCGACCAGTCCACTAGTGGAGGAGGACTACTCTGTTGACAAATAACATTTTAATTAAAAAAGAGTTTCCATAACTTTTCATAGTACAAGATGGCAGATCCGTAAACGCGTACTTCATGCCTCTTCAACTTTTTAGTCTTATGGTACTTCTTACGAATATTATAAATACGAAAGTTTCAATAGATGGATGTTCTTTGTCTCGTAACTCTGGAACGGCTGAACGGATCTAGATAAAATTAGGAATAGAGATAGATTACAGCTTGAAATAGAGCATAGGATAAGCTACTAATTCCGCGGACGTACTCACGGGCGACAGCTAGTCATAATATAAATATATAGACTAAAACATCGTCTAAAGTGTTTACAGAAGTAGTACATTTACAAAAGATAAAAAAATACTCCAATTACTATTCTAATAGACTTTTCTTATTGGCTTTTGTTGTTGATTTAAGCATGAAGGCTTTTACATTGTTCCATTCTTGCTTTGGTTGTTTGAGGAATAATCTCAATGGAGAGATTTTTTTAAACGGAAGTTATTTAAGTCTTACGTATTATGCGGAAATTGGTGCACAACGTAAGGACGTAGGAGGACGGTAAGACCCTTGCAAAGTAACTTCACAATTCAAAAGAACATCGTACGCCCGTAGATGACCATTCTAAGCAAAGGTTAATCATCCATGATAGAACATAATTAATTGATATGCGTCTAGCGCTAATCAGACGGAGACCAACAATAAGAAAATAAAAAGCACAGAAACCTAAGAAAGAGAAGAAAATAAATATTACGTTTATTTACTTCCTATAGACAAACCTCCATATTTCTAAAATATAAAAAAAAAACATTAAATAATTTATTTTTAGAAATTACGCGTAATCTCAAACGAAAATAATCTCGTATTTATGAATGAATGTCGTTCTTACATTTTTTTCATCAGAACGTGTTTAAGTCGAATGTTTAGTAGGAGGTTGTTAACCTTTGTTGGTTAACGCAGCAATCTTGACATTGACGTTACGTAACCGTTCGGTTACAGGCAGCGCTACGCCCCAATATGCACTTCACGATGAGTGTCCGTCAGATCAGCCGATTGATCGCTTTTATCATCTATCTCATCTTTTCAACCATCGGATATGATTTCACAACATCTCTTACTGTAATGGGAAAACTCAAATGTTTGTTTTTAATTATTAAATAAGCATGTTGACTTATTACGATTAGGTCTGTTTGTTCGGCTTTTTTTTTCTAATATTTGTTGAGTAGGAACTCGTGGCCACGGGGCGTTGTAGTGTCCCTATGCACCAATTTATATAACTAGATGTTTTTATTTAAAAGAGTGTAGAATCATAACGTTATCTCCATTAATACAAAAGGTAATACATAAATATAACTGTACTAGATGGAATTTATATCTGTATCGATCAATCAGTTCTTTCATGCGGTCATTGCATCACAAGTGCAAATTGCTATGAAATGAATCGAAAATTAACGGGATCTGACGAGTGAGGTGTCGGTATGCCGATGACTTGCGATCGCGTATCGCTCGTAAATCACCCTCAGCCTCGAGTTACGGTAACGGATAGGCTGGATAACTGTAAACATGTCATAATTACAAACACTAGGATGGTAAAAATAATACTCTCGAAGCCACCAAATTAAGTTAAATATAAAAAAAATAATAGTGAAATGGAATTTACGATCGATCCGAAAAGCGGAATGGGATTGACAAGCCTTGAGTTTGCACAAAAGAAAATGGGCTAACAAAAAATGACAAAACAATAAGACAAAATCGAGAGGAGAGAAAGTCGGACAAGATTCTGAACTTCATTCAAATAGTTTACGGTTATTATGTATTAGCCGATACGTTTTCCTAGAAAAAGTTAAAAAGCTAACAATTCTACAAAACCTGACATAACCTAACTTCTTTCCATTAGATACGTAATAGGGGTATAAATAAATGTATTATTTTTACTTCAACAATTCTGCAGTTCGGTAATCGCCTTTAACATCAATTACGACGCAATTGAATTACATACCTACATTTTGAGTGTGTCGTACAAAGCTCAGCAAATTGTTATTGAATGGAAGTGTTGCAATATTTAATGGATATCAAATAACTCCTATGTTATCGATTCTACGAATAATGAAATCGATACAAAATATTTGTAAAAATGTAGACTAAACAATACTACAAGTCAGTAATTTAGTTACTTTCATTAGGTGATGATATTATTTCTTAAATAGGTAATACTGATTTATTTTTTTAGGAATTTAACTCGTTTAAAAAGTTACATGAATATCATTTTAGTGCCCATATAGGAACTTATAATAAATAAAATAAAGCAGTATTTATGCGTAACTAAAATGTTAAATTTTGCGATTTGAATCGACAATGTGGCCGCCATCTTTTTTTGCCTTGAACAAAATGTAGTGCAAAAGCGCGCCAATTTAGCTTGCGTTGTAATGTCCTAACAAAAAGTAACATAACTCAAGGGAACATCGACGGGGACGACTTTAGACATCTAAAAAGTTCTTGTCTGGGTGTCTGTCTGTGTTAAAATAGAAAATTCAAATAAACACATTGCACTGATACTTTATTTAAACCATCGGCCTTAGTAAGGAATTTGATTGTACTTACATGCAATTGTACTAACGAAATAGAAAGAATATTCTAGAATATATGATAGACAGCAATTCTAATCAAAATAAATCAAAACAAGCATGAACGTTCACTTGTAAATTTCTTTATAAAAATTAAAAGGTATAACCTAAAAATTGAAATTTCAAGATGCTTACATTTAGACTCATGCAAGACCTATAATGAATACAATAATTTAGATCTCAAGTACTGTCAAATATATACAAACCAATGATTAAAGACAATCGTATTCATGTCTTCTCACATACATAAAAATAACTTCCAAGGTCAAGAGATGTGCCGAAATAATTCACATCCAATAAATCTTCAAGACAACATTATGTTGTTATTGTTTGTGCATATTTCTCTTAAAGCTAATTAAATTATCAAAATAGCTGACATAAATTGTTTTGCTAAAATAATCGTTTCGTCATTTACCGGTCATCTAGTTACATGCTGGTTTGATATTTAAAATATGATGTTATTGTAAAATTAATATGAATTTTATTAAAACGAACCGGTAACTTTCAAAGCATTTTTTGTTACTCAAATATATTATTATAATATATAATACTTGTTCTACTCATTAAATAGTAAATTTTAAAATTAAAAACATTGTTTTCGGAACAGCCTTTTTTATTTCGTTAATAAATGTATTTTAATAAGTAATTCAAATTGAAATTGAGAGATAATTGTCTTGTTTTATGTATCATGTCAGCTATTAACGAATATGTCGCACAATTTCCGGCAATATGGCAACAACTGTTCACTGTTCAGGGACAACAACACTTTCCTTGCGGTTAATGTCTCCAATAACAACAAACCACAAGATTACAAATTACAAACAAAAATATTAAACAAAATTAACATATCAAATGAAAATTAGTAATGATGTTATAAAAATTAAAATTATTTCTCGCGTTATAAATAGTAATATTTGTAAAAAAACGTTTCAAGAACATAACGAATACAAATCATAGAGAATTCGTAAAAATATTTTAGTGTAAAAACATCCTCACTATAAATTAAATTGTGGTTACCACCGACCTCCCCTAAGTCGACTAACATTAGCCTTTATACTAATTATATTTTAGTACGTAAGTTTCAACTATTAAAAAAAAACTGGTAAGCGAATGCAACGCAGTTATGATGCCAATTTATGACCGAGGCTCCGGCCGACTTTGATTAGTCAACACTCAGCAGCGCATTGCAATGATTACGCTACTTAACCATACTTGTTATTTTATTACAATAACATCACTAAAACGAGCAAAATATAAACAATCCGCGAACATACAAACAGGTTAGGGATAGGATTAGCTCTAGGATTGCAACTCCTATGCCTTAATGAATGTTACTACAAGAATAGTACTTCTACATTGTATCTATTTGAAATTTTATAATGAAAATGAATTGGATGTTTGCTAGTAGTAGTTAGATAGTTAGTTAGTTTGCTAGTAGTAGTTAGCTAGTAGTAGTAGTTAGTTACGTAATATTTTAATTAGAAAAAAAAATTACATCTTATAGATATAATCTTAAATCGTTTCAATTAAAAATTACAAGACAGTTAACATTAATAACACAAAGGTTATTAAATCACAGTTTGTTGCAGTTTGTAAAATGTAATATCGTAGACAGTATTATAATATACTAGATACCGCCCGCGACTCCGTCAACGTGAAATAAAAAAAAGTATGTAGCCTATGTGTTCTTCTACATCTGTGCCAAATGACATCTAGATCCGTTCAGCAGTTTAGTCTACAAAGTCTAAAAAACATCAATCCATCCATCCAACAATCTAAACTTTTATATAATATTAGTTAGTAAGAAGTAAGATTAAAACCGTATCTTTATTTAGTAATTCGCAAATAATTTTTATTTGCCTTAAACAAATATGTAATCTTTTATTAGAATGTTTACATTTTGTATTACATTACTTCGCATGATAAGCACATTAGGTAAGCAACTTCTGAACAGTTCATTCACATTTCTTTTATATTCCAGAAAATGGATAACGTGTTAAAAGAATACATAATTTTAATGTAATAACTTTGTAAATATTTGTCGTTATAAACATATCGTTAAATTTAACATTATAACAGTGGTAGAGCCCGCTTTAACATCTTTGGACGAATGGGCCGGCTCGCCCGGTGTAATACCACGACTACACAGAAAACAGGCGTGAAGTGGAAGCAACTCCGCGTTTCGTCTGATGAGTGTGGTGCCGGAGGTCTAATTTTAGTCCCTTTTCCTTTCCACCCTTTTCTTAAGAGAAAAGGATGGGAGGAAAAAGTGGATTGGACGGTGAAGGAGATGCAATAGGAAGGGGAAATGTCCTCTTTTTGTGTGTCTCCTCCTCCGTCAATTAGGGTAAGCAACACATGTACAATAGCGGATGT